AAGCGTAGTTTCTTGTAGAAATCTTCACTACGATCAATGCGTCATAGTTACGCGTAACTGCGACGCAGAATTGGCTCTACGCGTAACTGCGGCACAGTTGATAAAAAAGAGGCGACATGGGAAGGTGGCGTTGATCGGATGGACCAAATGGTACAAACTTATTCATGTAAGTGAAAAACGAAAAGATGGCCTATGACTTTCTTCTTCAATGTACTCGATGTTGGAGGTATTGCTGCTTTTGTGGTGTGGATTACCAAGAATCCTCAATGAAATGAAGGAAAACGACATCGTCGACATTTATTTTTAATGCAATTAGCTCATGAACTTGTTGGTGCTCACTTGAATCGACGTCGACAACAACCACAAGCACTACAAAAAGAGGTTCGACTAGCTATGGAAATGATAGGATTACCAATTGTTACTAGTACGTTTCCAGAAAATGCTTCAGTCGGTGTTATTAAGTGACGTTGCCAGCTTTGCTTAAGAGAACGGGGCTGAAAAGTCATCACACATTGTGCTAGTTGCAATATTCCTTGTTCCCACGATCACCATAAAGTCATTTGTAACAAGTGTTGTGAAACATTTTTAATGTAAAATATTATAGTAAGAAACTTTTTAAGAAAATAAACAGTGAATATAGGACTTTTGTACTCCTTATTCATGGAACAACATAGTAGTCACTACGCTTATTATGTCCATTTTATTAACTTTGGGTCCATACGGGCCCAGGTGGGCAACAAGTGATAGTCCGAAGGTGGCCGTGCCAGGGTTAACATTTAATATTAAAAATTAAGTCTTGATTAAATACTTATAATATTAAGTAATTAAGTGGCTAATGTAAACGTTTTTTTATTAATATTAAATTAACATAGAGTGCCATCCCTATTGTCTCTTATACTGCTTTACTCTATCAAGTAAAAATGCTTGATTTCCTTTAAGTACACCTGATGTTTTCCTTGCCTAAAATATACGAAGAAATGTTATCCAATATATATATGAAGAAGCGTTTTAAAAAATAATATTATAAGCCTGAAGATGTCGGAGCATAAAATACATCCCTATTCATAGAAAACATTGAGGAGTTCAAAGTTTCCACATAATGAAAAGCAAAGTGTGAATTTTCCTCAGCAAGCGTTCGCATGACGCTTTATTTTTATGAGCAAAGGGCAGAACAGAGTCTTATTTTGATATGACAAAGATCATGGATGTTTTGTCACCATTTTAGATGATTATTGTGAGAAATACTTCAATAGAGTGTGAGATACACAGCTAAATATAGATGCTTGCTTGATACTATCGTACAGCAGACTCCCCGATTGCCCATCTAACTAGAAAAAAATTCGATAAGCGTTGAGTGAGATACACTTCTTAAAAAATCACTAACCATGAGGTGTCTAAAAGATCCTTCAGGATAGTCCTAATAGCCGTTGAAAATATTTCAGACTAGTCAATACGTTTACGGCGATTTATTTCTGATTTTCTATCCATGGATAGAAGTCCATAGTTATAATTTTAGACTACATATACTTACGGTAGTCTGTTTCAATGTCATAGTTTGCCGTCATAGTGTTCGTCATATTTCGAACACTATCGGACTGGATGTTCAAATCCACCTTGTAACCACTTTTGCTAATCTTCCTACTAGTATGGACTGGGTCAACAGACAAAATGGACTAGACATAATTGGGCTCAAGAACATTTCAGAATAGATAAGACGTTTTTTGTAAAACATTTCTCCTTAAACTGACTAAGCTAGACCTGCCAGATGCTATGAACATTTCTGACTAGTCATGTCTACAATCTTTCTTCATTTTCTGCTGACTTGGGGATTTTCTTTCTTCTCGTTTAAATAATTTACGTGCAAACAATACATACTACTTTCCTCCCGTTGCCGTTGTTGATGACGACAGAACAAGAAAAATGATCGGCAACAAGTGAATGTATGCTATAACTGACGTCAGTTTGTAATTTTATTCGCTCAGAAGTATAAATTTTATATGCATGTTGGCAACTTGTAAGTGCCTTTTCATCTGAATACGCTATTTTTATGCATCCATATTTTTATTACAGTTAAACAAACATTTTTTTGCATTTTACACCGGGATATTTTGAATGGAAGCTTTTCCAGTAGGACACTAGTCTAAATATCTGTGATAGTGATAACTATCAAATGTATTGTTTTTCGCCGCCTACATCTGATAAATGTTATGAGATGCCGTAAATCCTGTTTTGATACTGCACTTGATTGTTGAGAAATTTCTAATACACCATACAGCCATAGCTATTGATAAAGTAAGCCAAAAAAAAACAAAGTTTTCGATCAAAGTTATCTTGAAGACTATTTGAAGAAAAATAATGATCTCACAGATATTCATTATCAAATTGAAATCGTTTTTAAAAACAGCTGCACAATAGCATGCTGTTTTTCTAGTTTAGAAAGTCTTTTCCATGAGTCGTCGACTTAGTAATCATGATTGAATGATGCACTGTAGGTTGCTGAACAACAGAGTGCCTCATCAACAAGTAATTCTTAGCATCTTAGAGAGTTTATTGAGTTTAACAAGTTGTGTGGTTTGCGAGTTATCCATGCTTGCAAATCACGAAACTTTCAATCTATCATAATATTATATTGTTTTGTTTTGTCCAGTCTTTTATAGTAAGTCTATGCAAGCACCGTTCATTTACTCGTTTACACCATCGTTACTGTTATGCGGTCCACTGAACCCACCCATAGAAAATGACCAAAAAACGATACTATTGTTTTATTCAAGCTATTCAATTTTGCACTATACACTTCTAAATACTCTCATTATAGAGACTGGCATGTTCGTATACGTGGCAACAATATGAGAGTATACAATGTCGAAAAAATTGTTCACGGAAACTATGCTCATAAAAGCAATAAAGTATAATTGAATAGATTACAGATTCCATCACTTAAGTCTAGCGCAGTAGAAATAAGCTGATATATTAACAAGCACAGTCGTCTGATGACAGGAATGGGACATTTTTTTCTTTTTCTTTATTTTCATCTTCTTTTTATTTCACGGTAATAATAAAAATTGTAAAATACAGCATCTATGTCGCAATAATCGAGCCGTTCTTATCTCAGTTTGCTTGTGTTCATTTCATAAATACAAATGATTTCTAGTTCTTTTCTTCACGTCTTTGTTTTGCTCGGTTGAAATGAGTGCTTATCCTAATCTTTTGCATTATTTTCGATGACACATTATAGCCTAGGACTAGTAAAACCAGCTTTACTTTTGGCTTGATACTAGATTTCTGACTGTAACGCTGATTTTTCGAGCTCCCCAAAGCTTTACTCAACTATACTAAGAACTTGCGTAGAATACCTGTGCTTCCTGTATTCAATGTAGAAATTAGATATAACCAAAATTTCATTGCACTTATTACAGTAATATCAATCATGTTATAAAAGACCACCAATGACCATCATCGATTGATTTGTAGCACGGTTTAAATATATAATACTTTGATCAACAGCGTCAACATCAGCATTTGTTGGTAGTGAACGTACAAACGTATTAAGACTGTTTTATATGGAAACGCAATGGGAGCAACATAGAGCAGCTTCAGCAAGCTCGACAATGTTCCCGCATAACACCTTTGCTGTTGTGGGTCCAATTGGATCCTGTCCTGTGTTTCTTCCCTCTTAGAGTTATTTAAAATTCCTTGTAATGATATTATATAATAACAAGAGACTAGAGGGCAGATAAAAATACATGATCCAAAACAACAAATGTTAACGAAGTATTAGATGAAAAACTGTAAAGTGGGTCCGCTCGAACTCCACAACAGTAACGAAGGGTTAAATGATGCAATTTTCCCAATCGAAATTTAGATAAAAATTTCCTTTTCTTTGCACTTGATCTTTCAGTTTTGAGTGACTTAACAGTTGCCTTCACAAGTTTCTAACTCGGTAGAAAAAGCTGTGGTAATCGTTATCCGTTCATCATGGCTCATAATGATATAAAATATTCCAATTAATCAATGAATTTATAAAAAAAATAGTGAAGATTTCATCGAGTTCTGCTGTTCAATGAAATCATATATATATATATATATATATATATAACTAGCTCTATTCTAGATCGAAACAATTCTTATAAGATAGCTCTTATGCGATGAGCATAACATTACATTCTACACTATTAACTAAAGTAGAAGACTCAAAACGAGACCCACAGTGTTCGTCATGTGGTTCCATTGCTCAATTTGCATGTATTAATCATTGCGAAATTGTTCTGTGTGCTCGATGTACTAACAAGCATCGTGCGGTTGTTATTAAACAGATGCACAAAATTCTCAAGCGATTGAAACTTTATCAAATGAAATTGATTGATTCTACCGATGGATCTGATCAGAAACCTGTTCAAGTATCAGAAACACTAAAACGAAACTCTGATAATTCCAGAGAGTAAGTTTTTGAACCTCAGTTGACTGGCAAAAGAAAATGTGTTAGTCTTGAAAATGGTGTATATTCACGAGGAGTCATAACTTCTTTTTTGTTTTAATTCTCTATGATTTTCCTAAGTTCAATTTAGAAAATTTTACATTTATTTGATCAATCGTTTTAATTTTTATATCGTTTAGCTCAAATATATCAATCCTAACAAGAAGTTCTCTGGAAAATTATTTAATTACTCTCAAGGAGCATCTTGAAAATGATCAATTACTTAATGCCAAAACTCTCACTGACTTAGAGATATGCCTCACTGATCATGCAGACCCATTCACGAAAAAGTCTCCAACTCTTATGAATTCTTATGATTTCGATAGGAAAACATTCTCATTTCGTCGCTCCCGACTGAAAGTAGCAACAACCGCACTAACTCGTTCCAAGACGATTACTGTCTCACTCAATACTCAATTGAATTTCACACGTCCTATTGAACGTTCTTTTTCAATGGGTCAACATCCGATAGCAGTGTCATTAGTTGATTCCTACCTAGAAACATTTTTTTGTCAAGGTCGCGATAACGGTGTCATACTCCTTAGCTTATTATCTATTGATGTGTACACGCGTAGTTCTGGTTTAACCTGGTCGATTCCACTTAGTCGAGTACTGGGCAATATAAAAGATAAGATCATTGCAGGTGTTTGGTGCTCGTACACTGAACGCTTAATTCTTGTTGGACGATATCATTTTTACTTGTTTGATATGGATCAACAAAAACTTCGATGTATATGCAAGTGTGGAAGCGGTGCTCGCTGTATGTCGGGCTCAATGCCACCGGCAGCACGTCAAAGTATATCACCAAGATATCGATGTCAATCAACTTACGACGATCGAACTAATTCTCAGCGATTTCTTGCAAGCAACCATAAGGGAATTTTATTCTATGGTAAGTTTCAGCAGTTTTCGAAACTATGTATACTTCAGTTAGATTATGTTCTGCTGAAATTCAATGTCTCAAGGATAAGGATATTTGTAAAATAAACAATATTTCTGTTTATTAAAGTTCGAACTACGGTGCCAGTATATTTTTGTTTTTTATGTTTAAAAGCAGCAGTTTAGCATGAATTATATTTTAACTATGAGTCGTAAAATAGAAAAAAGCAAACATCTACAAAATGCTCGGCTGTTAGAACAGATCGATTTTGAACGATTAATACTGAAGTTTTTATTCCTTTTAGCCTACAAGTCTGGAGCAGATACATACCGACTAGAAACTCGTACCTTGACAACATCTTTGGATGATGTAGAACAAGAGAAAGACAAATCATGTTCTATATACGATTCATATAATGCATGCGATGACAAACAGATGAAATTAATTAATACTTTACCGATTGAAGGACAATTGGCCGCTCTATCTGTATCTTGTGATCGTCTAGCTTTTGTTTACAGACGTTTTCCACAAACAGAGAAGTGGTCTACACAATCAAGAAATCTATTAGACATTGATCACTATTTTGCTTTGTACAATCATTCACTAAAGAAAATGACTGATCACGTTCGCCTGCCTTCTTCAATTCGATGGCTCACAGCAATCGTAAGCTATGGAACAGATTCAAGATATCTATTATGTGATCCTCGAAGCCAACAATTACTTCTCTATCAAGCTACCGATAGTGTGTTGATTCGCCGTTTTCATATTGCACCGATTAATGCGTGTTGTCTCACTGATGGTCGACTAGTGTTATGGATACAAAAAGCATATTCGAGTTCACCGGTTGGAAAATTACACTTTATCAGTACTCCTCATCTAGAAAAGTATGAAATAGTATCCACATCGTTAGAACTTTTAAATAAGACGCTTAAATAATGTTTAATAATTGATCTTTGCACATCATCCATACATTGACTTTATGATTGACTCCTTTTACAATTATGCTGTAATCCTATCATATAACTTGAATAAAAACAAAAAATACGTTTGATTTCAAATACATCTTGCTGTTGTTATCTCATTTTGAAGCATATGTAGATCGAATACAAAATTTTTCCATTTTCGATCAATGACGATAGTAAGAATGAAATAATAAGATGAATATTGACTCATTATAGTAACACTACTGGTGTCTATTAATTCGCTAGTTTTCTTCTTCAACTGCATGGCCATGCAAAAAAATTAACTGTAGACTTGCCAATTGGTTTTACTTTGTGCTTTACTTTTTTTTGAAAAATATCTACATATTGGCAGTAGCAGTTAATAGAAATTCATTGAAATTTAAATAAACTATAATACATAATACTCTAGATGAATTGTTTCTAATATCAATACATATCATGTGAAAGCGATGTGAAATTGTCTACTCAAACGAAGAATTGTCATTTGAATGCTGAGCTATCATTATGACGACGAAAATGTCTGTATCTCTGTAATAATAGCCCTGTAGGTATTATTTATACAGTTTAAATTAGTGAAATACTCCTTATAGAATAAGAATTGCTAAGTTTTCTCAATGGTCGATGAAAGTCTTGAAACTATAATTCTATTTCAGTACAATCAATTTTACATGCTTCGTAAAAATACTAATCAATGGTTTTATATTTTGGTCTACTCCACATTCGTCGTATATTACGCCCCAAAATGATTCGTCCCAAATGAAAACGTGAATACCGAATTCGTCTCATTACATAAACAGTCCTTATCAATTTAAATAAATCTAAGAAGTGTAAGATGGGTTCATTAAAGTATCACATAATCAAGCGTATAGAGAATAGATGGATCAAAGCGATTAAAATCCTGTGTATGTACTACCGGGATAGTTCTGATGGTGACATCTCGCTGTAATGTTTGATAATTTGATGGATGAAATGAATCGATACGTTATATGTGAAAGATAATGTAGTCTTTATTCATATCTTGATCGAGTCTTTCTGAACATGTTTCGATTTACAACCAGTGAACGAAATCAACAAGTGTTAAATTACTCGGACTTTCAATATACTATCAAGCGAGTAAATAAAACTTTAATCCACCAATACGAAAGTGGTCAATTAGCTACCCACTGAATTGTCTATTGAATCAGGCAAAACAGTGAAGATAAAAAAAGGAAAAAAATAAATGTTATGTTTTTTTTACAGATGTTCTCTTTTGTTCTTATTGGATGAAGTTAGATAAAAAAAACAAATATAAATAGATACTCTTATTCTTATCTTAATTTATAAATTGATAAGGGCCTTTTATTGAATGGGGCGAATTCGGTATTCAGTTTTTCATTTGGGACGAATCTGGAAAGGACAAATTTTCAGTTGGGACGAATTATCGTGGGACGTAATATGGGACGAATGTGGAGGACATCAATTCTTCACATAGAAAGATTAATTGATGTTTGTATAATGACGCTGACTGATGAAAACACTTTTTTTTCTGTTTTGTGCTTTGTAATTTAATAATCCTCGCATGCTTTGCATAATATAAATTCCTAAGCTCATAGTTACCTTTGTTTTATTTAGGCAAATGAGTTTAATTAATAAAATAACATAGAATTCGTTCGACAAATAAATAACTTAATAAATCAGCTTTAGCATGTTTCTCACATTAGAAAGGTTTATCTTGACGACTAAATCAATAAAACTTGCATAGTGATAGCCAGATGTGAATGAGTCTCGCTTTCTTTTCCTTTTTATGATTTCTCTTATCATCATCTCCAAAAGCTTTAATTTTGCATATTGATGTCGGCCTATAAGTATCATACGCTGAAATATCGTATGATAAGTTCTATAACGACTACGTAGAAAACTCGCATGTATTCGTATCAAGATCTATATGCATGAATAATGAACTACATAAGATTCAATAGAGAGACAACATAGAAAAATAATATGTAAAATAATTGATACTTCTTCTTGATAACACACTACAGTCCATAATGAATGAGAAAAAAACTCATTCAGGTCAACTTTACTATAAAACTATAGACAAGTACGATTGGACAATAACAGAACTCACATATCTATATTTTCGAGCATATCTTCATTGAAAACTAATTACATGTCATGTCACATATAGTTTCGAAGAAAACAATGAATGTAAGTTTTAAGGAAAAACTTTGCCACTCCCGTTCATTTTTGTAGCTTTTTTTCTACTGGTTTATGATTCAATTCACTTTTCTGGTGCGTCATTCATAGAATTTTGTCAGTTTGCTCACGTTCTATTACCTGCAAAAATTCAACAATCAACAATCTTTTTTTCTTCTATGGTAACCTTTTGCTTACATATGCGCATTTACTTTTGAATGAGTCACATTTATTACTCAATGTTTTACACAATTTTTTCCGACATGAATATCTTCAAAACATGACAAACATCCACATTGGGTTTTTTCTAGCACATGTTGCCTCAAGCTTTATACAAGCAGCACTCAATTTACTTCCACTGTTAAACTATTCAGAAATAAAGCATCACTGTATTTATGTTGACCATTTCGGCGAAGAACATTTTTGAATTTCATTCAGTGATGATGTTGTCATAGCTAAAACATTCAACATTGTGAACTAGCTGAACATAGGCAATTTTTCGAATAAATAAGTATGACTAGTCGATTCACACATTTTAAAGCATTAAGATTCTAAAGAAATGTGACACAGTAGATAGTTGAAGGTGAACGTTTGTTCTAGAAAATCCTCTAGTTAGTTTCTCCGATAAATTCAAATAGCATGCAATATTCGTATGAAAAACATAGGATATCTCTTATTTTTATCAAACAAATGTATACACTGTTGCATCGATATTTATTCAAATCAATTTAAGTTTATTGTAGAAACTAATTATAAGTTGTTGCACATATGTACTGTAAAACTAAACGTAGTAAAATGAACCCTTGTAGTTCATTTACTCTGCAAAGAGTATTTTACATCTGGTACTTTCATATATTCGTCAGGATATATGATAAGACTGATAAACAAAAATTAGGATTTTTTATTCTACACTTAGTTTGGACAGTGAAGACCAGCTTATACAATCATATCCACACCAAAATAAAAACTATGAACGAGAATCTCTCGCTTGGTAACTGGCTTTCACCTCAACAGAAACATTGCTCTCTATACAGTAGAACAAAGAAAATAGCTGAGGTAAATAGATTCATTAGCAAGATCGGAGTTTTGAAATGAGGTGCCCAGCACAGAAACTGATAGACCACATCGATATTTACATTTCATGATATCAACATATGACGTATGAACTCTCTCCATTTGATTATTTGTCTTTACCACTGCGTTCCCTTTGCTAGTTCTCATCGAGAACTATCTACGATAAAAAAAACAATTGGGTTGAGATTTTCATAAATTGTCAAAAGAAGTCCTATTTATAAAGATTGCAATAGTTATGATCTAAAATATAATCAACAAAGCAGTAATGTCACTGATTGAAAGCTAAACAAAAGCATATACATATATATCCGTGTAATCTCGTGTAATCTTCTGGCTCCTTGCAGGAGAAAAAGGAATTCTGTATAATTGTAATTGCCAATAAAAGTGAAATAAAACTGATAAGAAATAAATATTGATAGGGTGACACAATAATTTTAGCAGTCAGTTCACAGTATGTTTTGGAGGTTGGAAAAATGTTGTATGACTAATTTATTCTGTTATGGTTACCAATATTTCGTCTCCAAGAAAACGACAGAACAGAAATTTTTGTTTTTAAATTATCAAGAAGAAACGGTTTTAGCAAAAAAAAGAAGTGTTTATTTTCAAGATATTTTACATTGTATAGCATCAACCTCAAGCGAACTTGATGGGTAACAAAATTGGTAGTGGATACTTCCTTCATCCAAAAGAGTAAGTATATACTTTAAATAGTAAAGGTTTTTCATTGTGCTGATTCATTCGAAGGCCTATAGTCAATTATAATCCTCATACGAGCGTGTCTTTCGAAAGTCTCATTAACGATGAGCAAACTGATGAAACAAACAATGGTGAAGAGCCTAACGGAACAACTCTCTCATTTCATAATCTTAACTATAAGATAGATATGATATCAAATGTCTGGCACAAACTACCTTTCTGTTCGGCTGCTAATAGAAAACAAATTTTGTTCGAAGTTTCTGGAATCTTTCAGCAAGGCATGAATGCCATCCTAGGTAACTATTGATAAAGATAAATCAATTTTGAGTTAAGTACACAACATATGAATAAATATTCTGCAGGTCCAACTGGATGTGGCAAATCGACTTTACTGGATATCCTTGCTGATCGTAAAGATCGACAAAATTGTGAAGGTCAAGTACTCATCAATGGTTACGAACGGCCTCCTCCTTCCATATTTCGTCGTATGGTGGGCTATGTTGTTCAAGACGATATTATCAGTGACACACTAACAGTACGGGAAAACATTGCCTTCTCAGCTAATCTTCGTCTACATCCCTCAGTAACATCTACGCAACGATTGGCACGTGTTGAAGAAGTCATCAAACAATTAGGTTTGAGTGAATGTGCGAATACGCGCATGGGTTCAGAACTAAAACGTGGTGTATCGGGAGGGGAACGAAAGCGTACTTGTATCGCCATGGAATTGGTTTTGTCTCCGAAGATTTTGTTTCTGGATGAGCCGACCACAGGTTAGGCAGACAAAATAATTTTATTCTGAAAATTGTTTGATTGGAGTGGTATTTAGGTCTTGATGCATCAACAGCTTGCGAAGTAATGGAATGTTTGAGAGATCTTTCACGTAAAGGATGTGAGTAGTCGACGAAATAGTACGAATTTCATGATAACTAAAGTGGATTTGTTCTTATTCATTTAGGTACTATTGTATTTTCAATTCATCAGCCAAGACACTCAATTTTTGAACTCTTTGATACCGTCTTACTGTTGTCACATGGTCACAATGTGTATTTTGGCTCATCCGCTGAAGTTCGTCCTTATTTTATTGCAAAAAACTTCGTATGCCAGCAATCTGAGAATCCAGCAGACTTTGCACTTGATGTGCTCATTACTGCAGCTCGCAATAATCGAACGTCAGAACTCTGCCAAAAGTATCGTGACTCAAATATGCACATTAGAAATGCAGAATACTTATCAAATATATTAGATAATTCACACATTGCAATAAAACACCAACAAAAGTCAGCTCGGTCTATTAAGTCAGAATTTTTCTATGTGTCCCAACGTACTCTACGTACTGCAATACGTAATTCAGCACTATTGACGTGGCAACTGGTGGTAGCCATTATTCTTGCATTACTCACTGGTCTTCTTTATTATCGATTGCCACAAACGATAGGCTCAGGTGTACAAAATCGTTTGGGTGGCATTTTCTTCGTTGTCGTGAATCAAATATTTAGCACGGCAACAGCACTTGAACCATTTATCAAGGAGCGGGCACTCTTTATTCATGTAAGGACATATGATTGAATACTTAATAGTATTTGTTTTTCTAGTTGAAATGTTTTTTATTAATGCAGATAGAATTCATGCATTATATATTCTAAAGTGAAATTACATTGCAGTCCTAGTATGCAATGACGAGCACTAGTAATAAATAAAATACATTCTCTGTTTCTATTAGGAAAATGTCAGTGGTTACTACAGTATGTCAACCTTATTTTTGGTCAAATTGGTGTGCGATCTTTTACCGATGCGAGTTATACCATCGATAATCTTCAGCATTATTTGTTATATTATGATGGGCTTACAAAATGATATTGGAAAGTTCTTCGTTTTTTTTGTTACCATTTTCATGGCCAATGTGTTCGGTTCAGCTACATGTTTCTTTGTCGCTGCAAGCATATCTGTTTTCGGTAAGGTTTTCTGGCAGTTTTTATATTTAACTTTTGCAGCTACTGTACGCTAGCCTTGCTGTTTGTTGAGTTAGATTTTTAGTTCATCTACTCACCTTCATGCCCAATCTAATATGATAGCATAAAATTGCATCCAAATTTGACGATGAAAGTATGTGTGAAGAAAAGAGCTCTCCTGTGCTCACATACCACTCAGTAAACACTGACTAAAATTTTCTCTTGAAAGCAGTCAAAACCCCATTATAGCAAGATTAAGCACTACATGAGTTACTCCTAGAACCTACGCCAAGATTTTGGAAAACTTCTTTAGTTGTAATCAGGATAAAATGTTGACTTAGACTCAGTTGTATGTATTGCATATATGTTTCAAGTTTTTCTCGACCGGGTTTTTACTTTCTTATATATTTAGCTGTGGCTTTGATCATTTTGGTTCTCATATTTGTTATCATGATGGTATTTAATGGTTTTCTTGTCGAATTGGAAAGTGTATTTAAGTTTCTTCGATGGATTAAATGGTTTAGTGCATTTCGCTATGCCTATAATGTATTAATCATCAATGAATTTCGCAATCAGAACTTCTGTCTGCCCAACCAAACTGATGTCTGTCCTTTGTCAGGCAACGAAGTCTTGCATGAACGAGCAATACATTTTGAGTCCAATTGGAACATGTGGCAATATTTTCTTTCTCTCACAGCCATTGCATTGACACTTTTTCTTATGAGTTACATCAAATTATTACGTATCAAGAAGGTAAAATAAATCTCTTCACTTGTTATCATCGTCAGTAAAATGCGTACGCAATTATCAACTGCAATGGGTTTTTCCATACTGGATGAAGATGATTCCTTTTTTCTTTTGTGAAGCATGATTGTTAAAGAATGTTGAAAAGTAAATTGCAAAAAATAAAAATTTCCAATCAACTGAACCGTTGATATCAAAGAAGCCAGACGTTTTTTGCAAGACCATAAAGATAGATCATAAGTGCGACTGACGAGCTAGTCTTTGCGAGTCACACCAATCACTAGTGAATGCACACAACCGAGTTTGATGATTTTTCCTCGCTCTGAGATCTATGATCAAAGTAAGTCCTCATAGATTTCGAGGCAAGTCATTTAAAAAATTGAAACAACCGTGTGCATTAAACAGTGCTAATTTTATTAACGAATCGTATAGTCATAATAAATTTTTCTAGAAAAGCAATAGGTTGTTCAGCTTTTTAGCATCTAGCCTTAAATACTTATAGAACTTGTAACGACAAACTGGATGGAGTAGCTTACTATCGCTCTTGATAATGATGTTTATTAGCAACTTCATCCACTACACACGTATGCATACGAGAAGCGAAGAGAGAACAGAAAGAGAATGAGGAGAAATCATCGAAGCGTGGCATCAATATCAGCACACCCTCCCACTCAGATCAGAAGCGCTTCAGAGCGTCTTAGCAGAATAAAAACAAGACAATAGAAAAGATATATGGAAGAAAAGGAAAAGGAATAAGAAAACCAAATCAAGTTGATCTCCATATCTCTTTTAATAGTGGCAAAGGTAGAAAAAGCCAAGACGTCTAAATAAAGCTACTACTTGTAGAATACCATTTGCATTCCTTTTCGGTTCATACCATACGTTACTTGTTTTTATTTCATTAATCTAATTTTCTTCGCTGAAAACAAAGCATTAGACGTTAACCAATTAGATAAGTAATATTGATATCTGCCGCAAAATATAAGACAAATCCTTATTGGTGTATATGTCAGCTTAGTTTACTCAATAGCTTATATTGTTATTGCATTCAGTTATATGTATTACCATATGTTCCGACTTATTTGAACACAATTTTAATGAGTAACGAGACTAACCTGGTAGAAAACGAAGAAACTTCCATCATAAAAAACCTAAAGATGGTCAAGCAAGCAATTTCTACCGAGCATGCCGAGCAGATGAAGTCGATTTGGTTAGACGAATTCTTTTGGCTATTACTTTCCAAGAAATCACTCGCTTACAATTGAATGGAAGTACGGCTCTTCTTGCAACATCCTATTTTGGTCACAGAAAAATTGTAAATCTCCTTCTTAACGACCGAGGTGTCATTCGACAGTCAATACGCTGCAGAAATTTCTTGCCGAACATGCGTCTGAATATGCTCAATATGAGAAAGCATTTGAACTTGTTAGAACTTACAAGAGAACAGGCAAGATGGAACATATTCTTCATCTCTATATCCTCAAAATGCCTTTCTACAAAATACTTGGCAAAGGTGTAGACTGTGCTTTTTTTACACTCTCGCAGCAAAAACTGATACTTTGAAAGAGCGTGCATTTCAATGACGTTGTTGTCGCGGACTTACAGTGAGTAAGAACGACTTGAAAGAGTATCATAGGACGTTAAATAACAACGGTAATGTCATCAGAAATGTCAGTTTCTGGTCAACATCGGTTTATATTGATGTTGTTCGACGGTTCAGTGCTTCATTATCTTCGAAACATGTACGTGCATTGATGATCTTAGATTTTCCAGAACCATGTTACATGGCTATCCAACTATATTCCATTTCAGACAAATTACCTTGCATATCCGAATATGAAGATGAGCGAGAAATTTTAGTCTTTGTGGACACAATGTTTCGTGTCAAGAACATTGAATCAAACGTATCGTCTGGCCTACATATTATTTATCTTGAAAATTTAGCTTACAAATGGAATGGCCATATATTGGAGGTATTTCGGCATGGAGTTCTCGGTAAGCATTAATTTGCTTATGTTGCTAAATCTTCAAATATAGCTCTGTAAAAATCGGTTCATTATTCATTTAACTTACTTGGTATATCAGTTTCATGCAAATTATTTGACTACGTGTTTCAAATAAACCAGAGGTTTAGCACTTTGGTGTATGTTGTTTTATGCATTTAAAATACTGATTAAACTCAAATAGTTTGGGATGAGATAAATTGCGATCCAAGAAATAATGCGTAATTCTAGTGAATATGGGATTGGATGTGCGTCTGTCGATGTTAATGTGAAACTTACCTCCGTGCCAAGGGATCACGCATTGAATCAAAGTTTGGAGGCGTGAAGAGGTTTTTTCAAACAATCTTGCAGAAATATCATAAAACATCGACCTAATCTGATTTTTTTTTGCTCGAGAAAACTGAAAATCTTATGTTATTGAGGGAGGAAGAAATTGCTCACCCACCCCCACTTGCAAGACCCTTGTGAAAGCCTACGACCAACCTTCATATCGTGTATTTTTATTTTTGAAGATTTTATTCTGTGATCTCAAGATCATTGATAATATTTTTAAAAATTCATATTCAATCGGTGTCGATCTCTATAGAATATCATGGATGAGCAAGTGGACACACTTCAGATGCAAGCAGTTCACGATTGTAGACATAAAATTCATCAATTGCTCCTGAATATGGACCCATTAGAATCTGACCTGTTTGACAGTTGATTCCTAATCCACTATTGCCTAGCAATACACACATTGAAGCACCTGCAGCTGCGAACACGGGAACATTTATCGAGCCATACAATCCACCATTGATATACAGGTGCAACCCATTAGTCGAACTCCATGTTTGCACAATGTGAGTCCATGCATTTATTGGAGGTATTGGTGCAATTACAACAAAAGTATTGCCATTCCAAGTTTGACCTACAATTGATCCATTCGAACTGAATCCAATCATTGGGAGGCACCAGGCACCTGAGCCTGTAGCGTCTGTCGATAAATGAAAAAGTGTACCACCTAGAGATGATGGATTAATCCACAGAGCAATAGAATAAGGTTGATTTTGGCCTAATGCCCAAAAGCCGCATGACTGAAAATAAGAATTTGATGCATTGAAGTTGATTGCTTGATTGACCTTACCCATCACCCAACTAATACCACTGTTTCCCTGTACAGTAGTTCTAGCAGTGATTTTATTGGGCCCAATATCCACAACAGAACCATCAAACGGGTAGTGCGTGATCAGTGATGCATCATTTAGTATTTCACACGATATTTTAACTCGATTTGTAATCCTTATCTGGTCGAGCAGCCCATTATAGTAGTTTGCTCCAGTTTCTCCCGTTATACCAACTATAAATTAAAAATCTACCATGTTAAGATCTCAAAGATGCAAAATCAAATAACTTACATGCAGCACTACCATTTTGCCCCATATATGACGAGATCGGTACTCTACTTGCTTCTAATAATCCATTCAAGTATATCGATTGTACGTTGTTAACAAAATCATAAACATAAGCTATATGATACCAACGACCAGCGGTCAGATTTGTTACACCGACGAGATCATCCCCATAGAAGCCCATGTATACTTTGTAGTTTCGAATGATATAATGGAGACATTGATCAATACTACGGGTTTCGCATTCGCCGAAAAGGCTTAAATCTAACGAGCTCAATGTGAATGAATAGATCCACATTTCGACAGTGAAACTTTTCAATGTCAAATCGATATATGGTACAAAGATATACTGAGCTAAAGAACTGTCAAGAAGTAGAGCTTGGCCCACATAGCCTGTTGAAAATGCGGCTCCATTTGCAATTATTCCATTATGTCCTTGACCTGATACATCGTTTGTATTCATTTCGAATGTCCACGATGCAATGAGTGTCGACGGAGTCACTGTAGTTACATTGATGCATGTGCTTGAGCAAGGCGTACCATAATTACTTGGAATCCAAGCTGTAGCCGGAGGGGTAGTGGTTGTTGTCGTCGTTGTAGTCGTCGTAGTAGTAGTGTTTGTTGTTGTTGTTGTTGTTGTTGTTATCATTGTTGAAATTATCGATGTTGAAAAATCGGAGCTACTAGCCAAACCATAAACAATCCCTAATGGGAGGACGATTAACAAAACGCATATAAGAAAGATAAATGTAGCAATAGCAATTGATCGACAGCGAGTCGAGCATATTTGCTGCCCAGTTCTATTGAAAAAGAGAGAAATAGAAGAGTGGAGTTTCGATAGTAGCAAAAATTGTTATAGCATACTTGCTAACCAAATACACTCTGGAAGCCGGTTTCGACTTGATCTTTGAAACCTGAGACTCATTTTCATTGTTTACCCATGCTTGTGAAGGTTGCTGGATATTCGATAGATTTGCTACCGTCGGTTCTATCGAATGTGCAGATATTTGAGTTCTTTTTAGAAGCATATGAAAACGAGGATCAATGGATTTTCGTAAGTCATCACTGTCGTTCATCTCTGTTTGAAACAAAGGCGTCTGCTGTAGATTAGAGAAAATTTTTGTTTTAATACAATGATCAATTAATAAAATACCATTAATCTGCCATGTTCAGGTCGAGACGAATCATTAATCTTTCCGATTGAAGCTAATGTGACGAGAGAAGAACCGGAAAGTGGACTCAACGGAAACGATTCTAATGAAGGCTATAGAAAAAAACTATTATTCATCATTGAAAATTCATCTGATCCTACTTTATAGCCAGTATCACTTAAGTATGAATCAGCTCTCCATAGAGAAGACGAGTAAATGGTTGTATTCCTCATTATCTATTTATTACGACTTTGTAAATAGCTTCCTGCTTACAAATACAGTATAGTATTATGTATACTTTCTTTATTCTTCGCTGTTGTATTGTTTGATTGAATTTTATTCGCGAGAGCTCTCTCTCTCTCTCCCAGCGTCGGCGCTGCCGCATTTTTAATTTATACAATTACAGATTCCGTAGAAGTAGTATGCTAATTTCATTTCAATATATTTCTGCTACTCAGTAAATCATAGAAGAGTTCGCACATTGTACTTACTTTTGCAAACGCATTTTCTGTGCGATTTATTTATTTCAATTGTCAAATCACCGAACTATGCTCCTTCTTTTCTTCAAGTTTTGCGATAGGGCGATGCAGTAAAAATTCTCGAATGTGAGCACCATCGCAATAGCTATTAACACAAAAAAGTACTGTTTTTTTTTGGTTTACTTTCAAATATCTACGAAAGTTGATCGCATTGGTTTAGAATAAGGAGATGTTCATTCCTAGAAAATTCGCTCGACCAGATAATAGGCTGCCTAGTATTAAAAGATGATGATAAAGAAAGGTTAGCTATAGCTATTATTTTTTTAAATTTATTTAACTTGAAATAAATAACAGTGTTGTGTTTGATCAAGTAGCAAACAATAAATTGAAGAAGAAATCTGCTTGAATTGCCAACAATGAGAGCTTTTAATTTCATACATTTCCACCATACGAAAAAGTGCATTGGCTGTGATATCAGGCATTTTTGGCCTTATGGGTTCTATCGGTTAAAATGATGTGAACATTATACAATTTAAATAGTCTCACTTACGTTTACAAACGAAAAAAAATGACATTCCATCGACAGACCAAATTATCATACTTAATAGACTAATCTTGCATTAGCCAAAATGTGATAACCACGAATTCCTATTGCTAACTTAAGAATTTCTAATTTTGGTGTATCAATTTATCACGAAATTCTTTTATGAAATATTGAAAAAGAACTGTTAACTTATATCGTGATGCATTTTTGACGAGTTGATGCTTTTAACAATAATTTTGAAGATAGAACAGTAACAAATGAAGTACCTGAAAGTTAAAATGGGTCAAATGATATTGAATAAACAGCTGTATTAGAAATAGCAATAGGTCATGTTGATTCAGTCATTGATTCAACTGAAGCATCGATAATTTGTTCACATTGGCAGTGAAAACAAGAATTCAAACTCACTAACAACTATTTCTTTGTTTCTACTTAAGAGAAAAACTTACAGGTGTCATTCATCAGTAAGAAAAATATAAAAATGAATCATTCAACAAAAAAGAATAATTTGATATTTTTAGATTCCAAGAAAAGTAAAATAAACTTCTAAATGTATCGTATTTATCTGATCTCCAAGAATTATTTCAAGAAATGAAGAGGGGTCCACGACAAATAAAATTTATATCGCGTTACTTTTAGATCCCTCAAGTTATCACTTTAGCCCCTTTAGCTCCCTTTAGTCGTTTTAATCACTTTTGTGGGAGTGCAAGAGAGGTTGGTCATGGCACCCATACCCACAATATGCACTAAACAGACTAAAAGGACTAAAAGAGTTGTAGGGACTAAAAGGAACTATGTACATTGAAATATTTCAATATATTTTGTTAGGTATCTTAGCATAAAAGTAAAACAATGTAAAATTATTTTTTCGTAAACCTATGGTATTGTCAGATCTTTCAGACTTGAAAGATTTTTCTAGATGTTTAGATTTTTTCTGTTTTTTCGGGATTTTTTGAATGTTTTGGCCATTGTGGGCGTTTTTTCAGGATTTCTGCATGATTATTTCGAGATTTTTTTAAAGCTTTACATGATTTTGAGATTTAAATTCTGGATTTACCAGTTTGACATCTGACAACACTCAGATTAACTTATACAATCGTACTTAACATAGTATAAGTTTCATTTTGTGACATACAATGCAAGACAATTTTACGAATATTGTGAGGACGGCGGTCGCACGCAGACATACACAGCATAACCATTACGATGACAGAATAGAATGATGTAGTTTGTTTTACTTTTGAACGAGGTGAAGGATCATCAATAGAGATGGAAGATGAAAGATTAATATCACGCATTTCAGAAAGAAAGATAATTGAAATGTTAACACATACTAAGTTTAACAAGAACAATAAACACTTTTACAGTCAATAATAAATATCTAAAGAATAATCGATAAGAAAGATTTTAATAACAATCAATAATAATAAAATATAGATAAATGAGAACATGAAGAATGAATAAATAAAGGAAAGGACTTGCGATTTGAGCTGAACATTTGTCATCACCTCGATCAATCACAATGAAAGCAGAACATTATTCTCTACTTCTCATAATCGCTAGCGTTACCCTCAGTTTGCTTAAAAAAATTATATCTATAAAGAATATAGACAGGCCGGGCAGCCTGTGCCTGTGACAGGCAGGCCTAGTGGCCTGGTTGGATCTCTGGTTTGGATGCTAGTTCTTCGAGAAACTATTCGATGAATATCTTATTTTTCTTTGTCTTTGAATAATATATCTATTGTTTTCTTATCTTCTAGCGAATGGAATCCACATATATCAGATTCTTAAATATATTTAACTGAAGGATGGAAAATATGTTTACCTGAATGAATATTATAGACTAAATTCTTGATCAACTCATTTTACTAATACTTAATACTATAAAGTATAATTATGCAAACTAGGGTCCATATCGAATAACCACGGTCGTAAATAACCGCAAACGGAGAAATACGGCGATACACGAAGTCTTTAATCGTCGAATTCGGGCTCTGATTCAACACTTCGATATCCACTTTTTAAGTCAGTTCTCACCATTAATGAAACGTGATATAAAAAAACTTCATCTGGAATTCAAAAATCAAATTGATTATTTACGAAATCAGCCACAGTACATTTATTTACTACAAAAATCTTTCTTTTTTATTTATATGATGCCAACTTTGTTGTCATATTTGATTAGACAATATAATTATTCCTATATTCAGTAATAGGTATAGAATTTGAATCCAAATTAAAATCGAAAAAAGATAAACGTTCAAGCGCGAATAATGAATTCGATATACATTACAGTTACAAGTACAAAAACCCTCCTTAGCATTCAAAAAGAGAACTTTTTGTACTTTAATATTCCACTTTATTCACCGAATATCTTTATGGTTTTTTAATGCTGAAGTACTTCAATATATTTGTGCACTGAATGTACATGATAATTACATGATTTCAAGAGGGTGTGTAAAAAAAATGATAATATCACCCGCACACCCATAGATTTTGAGAACAGCATTGTTATATTGCATGTTTGGATTCTTTTATCGTACACAGTTCGATATTGTCGCACAAATTAATTTTCATAATCAAATATTATTGTTTGTGATTTGAAATAAATTTGGATTCACATTAGGTGCATACAAATTTTGAATCTGCATCGAAGGCTCTGTCTGGAACTGGCTCATATTTGTTCGGGTCTTTTCCTAGTAAGTCACAGAATATTGTGAAAACAAGTAGCATGTACGATATCTTGATAACTCCGTTGTACTTTAGTATCTTTTCTTTTAAGCTCGGTAAAGGTATATGCAATACATAATTTTTCACAGAGTTGATCGATTTTTTTTCGAAAAGTGTCAAAAAACTGAGTAAAATTTTAACGAGAATAACTGAACTTGTCAAATCAAGTACATTGCTTTGCGAAGAATAGTAGTACATTTTCTTCCCGGTAGGATCGTGCATTATTTGATTTCTAAATTACTAAATATGGAGATTACAGACCGAACCGGAACGCTTGCGCCTGAAATATGAAGTGATAGGGTAATGATCAGTTCAAAGTTGAGGTCATTTTAATCTTTATCATTTTGTCAATGTTTCGTGTTATGCTAGTTTCAACAAGATGATATGATTATCACTCATAATAGTACTCAAATAGCTTCATCAGATTTAGCTGCTTTTATGATTACCGAAAATTATACCCTTAACAAAGAGGTATCTGTAATTAGAGCTAATCAAAAAAAACATTTATTGTAAACACACATATTTTAAGCTCTTTCTTTCTCTCTTATGCTTTCTTTCAGATAGACATATTTAAACGTTGAGTGCATATGCGTTTATATGGTTGGAGTGTGTGTATATGGCATCTTCATTCCTTCTGATCCGCATTTCATCTGCATTATTTAAATAATATCGACGTACAATTTATTGAGCGGACGCGGACCAGCGCCACCTAATCGAACCCAGAAAGATATTGTGTATGTGTCGCCAACAGAAGCTGTAAATGGCTGAGTGAGGAAATTTATACCACTAGAAGAAATGCAGCTATCTTGAAAGCAATTACCTATGCCCAAATGGCAATTAGAGCCGGATGCTATCCATGACGGTGTACCGCAGCCAGTTATACACCACTGTGTCCAGTCAATTAGAATTGTTATTGAGTTCTCAAAACTTGGATTCATCAGTAGTTCAATACTGGGTGCATTTTGATCAACAATAGAGACGGAGTCCAAATAGTAAGTATTACTATTTACAATCTGAAACCCAAACATGATCATAGGCGATGCGGTTGATGCCGTGTAGTTTAATTGGTGTTGAGTCCAAATGGTGCTTCCTCCAGTCACAATCTGTAGAGTGCCTTGTCCAGATGTGGTACAAGCCACATTCATTGCTGTTGCTGAAGTAGTTGTTGTCTCTGATGCAGTACTTGTCTCTGATGTAGTACTTGTCTCTGATGTAGTACTTGTCTCTGGTGTAGTACTTGTCGTTGTGACTAAAAATTAAAAAAATAAATGCTTCTTAGTTCTCTTCGTTGAATATATCCAAGACGAGGCATCTAACAGTTATATTACAAAAAGTTCTTCGATTTCGATAGTTACATAAACTAAATCTATAAGAACTGCTTTTGGATCATCGTCTTCGTTTGTCTCCTTATTCATATGTTATTTCACCTCAAGTTTCAATGTAATAGTCGATTAATAAGAGATAGATTTCTGCATCATCATAGAGGTTTCATACATACGTAGAAGAGTGAGCTGGAGAAGATCACAATATCAAGACACTTCAAAATGTCAACAATACCGATAGGTTACTGATGCAGAAGGCATGAAGTCTAGATTGATTCTGAATAGCTGAAATCACACAACAGAAAATACAATTTGTGGACATTTCATTGATAACATCGGATGAATCAATAAACTGAATCTTCATTTTAATATACTCTAGTGGCATTTTTTACTTGTATTTTGCTGATCGCATTCGGAAAGCGTACACTTCGCATCAGAGAAATTAAGCAAGTTTTTAAATTACCCAACAAACTGAACTGATCCATACGAGCTTGTGAGATTTATGTAGAGAATTTTTTCTGAAAGAAAATACAGCTCGAATATGTCACACAATACATTGAAAAAATTAAATTAACTCTAGATTATAACTATTTTATTGTTTTTTTTCTCTTTCTAATAGTGTTATAATACCTCAAACATTACTATTCACTACTACTCAGGGTACGAAATCTAGGTTTTCACTAGAACAACGAAAATTCTGTGGTTCGACAACGACTTAATAATCTTTTTACACATTACTATTGGAGCTATGTTTTGTCTCAGTTTCACCTGAGACTACGTCAATAAAAATAGTTCTAATAAAATTTTTCCATTAGAAATAAGTTTTTTTTCTCAAGTTCGTTTTAAAACAAAACTATCTTAACCCTTAGAAAGAAAATAGCATTTGAAGTTGTCATTATTTGCAGCTTAACAAATTCAATTAGACACTCTGAAGATCCCAAAGCACTCAAAATTGTTAACTCATCTATTTGAGGAAAATTATTAAAACAAACTAAATTTACAATTTACTTATTGTAGTCGATGTTGATGAATTTGGAGCGAGTGCTAGATAAGCAGCGACAGCTAGCAATACAAGAAGTGTTATGCCAAAAATAAAAGCGATAAAAAACAGCACTCGTCTAATCCGTTTTATTTTCGTGTCTTCTTCTTCTTCTTCGTGGTCTGGATTTTTGCTTGATCTTTAAATTAAAAATACTATTCAAACGTACAGTCTAGAAATTTATGAGCATACTTATAGAACCAGAATGTTTTCTTCCCGTTTGAAGCTGTGCTTCCCGGCGTCTCATCCTCCCAGACACTTCTTGGTTTCCATATTCTAGACATGATTGTTCTTCTTGCCTAAAAATCTCTCAATTAAAGATAAAATATTCGAAAAAGTAAAATCAACTCCAAGTAGCTGTTAAATATTGTAGCAGTTATACTCCATAGTGTATTTTGATTAGAGACGTTATGAAAGCGTAAGTAGAAATTCAGTGTTTCGTTAGATGTAAAATCGGTCACTAGTACTCACTCGATCAACCGATCAGTCGCAATGAAAGATTTTGAATAGAAAGAAGAATTTTAATGTCACGGAGAGCATAAAAAATTTTAATAAAAACTTATTTGGCTTTTGCCAATAAAATATGAGAAAGATCTGAGCAAATATTCGCGCTGTTGACATTCGAAGAATCGAATAAGAAAAAAACCCAAAGATATTTACTTGTATAATTAGGGGCCGGTCAGTTTTGATGAGCTCAAGTAACTAACTGTGAGTTCCGTATAGAAACCTATGATTCGTCCTCATGAAATCAAAAAGCATCAAAATGGAATGCAATAAATTCTTTTCAACTGTAAATAAGGATTACTGTGACATTTGTCGCAATCTAAGACGGAGATGTAAGCACAGAATTTCAAAATTTTCATTACTATATGTGACAGCAAAGTAACATATTCATATCGATATTTATGTATCAATATTTGAAACGATCAGAAGCTTTTATTTAATTTTGAAAGATCATTTCAAATCGTGTTCTCGTCAGCGTCCATCAGTTACAATTGCTCACTATCATCAATCGATCGGTAATTTTAAAAGGAATTTTAGATCTTGTCGTCTATGAAATTCTCCTCTAAAGTCGTAACTAGGTCACGTCGTGTAAAAACATAACTGAGTTCAATAATAATTTATTATGACCTTCACCCAACTTGAAAGAACGTAGAAATATAATTGATGATTAGCTCAAAGATTCTTGCAGAGCTTTGCATTGTGTTGCCCTTGAATTAAATCCATATTGTTTCATATTTTTCGTTCGAAATGCGCACAAAAGAGCAGAGAAAATGCATCCTTTTTGCACAGAAATAAAATCAAAATTCAAAAAAATTGTTATTTTTAATTAAAACTCAATAAACAAACGCCAAGAGAATTAGCTTTTTGAATATTAAACAGAAGACACATATGCAAATAGGACTCTACTGGTATAATTAATTGCAACACAGAGAAACATAATTCTATTCACTGTTGGCAATGAGCTAATTCTGGCAACAAATCGACTGAGTAGTGTACAGTCACTCGTATTTATTACGTTGATCGAGCAACTTCTTGTTTCTCAATTGTCTACATAATATATGGCAAGAAAGAATGTAAGATATAAAACCAAGAGAAACAAGCAAAAGACTAACAAGAGTTAATAACAATTTTGCCAGTCTAGCAAACGGCAGACCCCATGGTCAGATTCAAGCTATCATATTCTCGGAACGAGTCGATAATGTAGTTTTTGTTGAGGAAAATGTGAAATTTCGATGAGAATTGACAAACCTAATTTGCATGTTTTCCTGTTCATGTTTCATTTATTCTTTAAAGCTGAAAATCCTTGCATTATGATTGATCAGGTTGGTTGGTTGGTTTGTAGTTATTTGGTAGAATTTTATTGCAAAATCATAGATTGCATATCGTTATATTCGCTCTCGTGTTAAGTTATCGACTGCAGTATTCTATTGTCTAGAAGATACTAGATGCAATAATATCAAGATATTGATATTTTTCGCGCTTTGGTTATTATGTGCATGAAAGTTATACCACCAGAGTTATGTACTAAGAATAGGACTGAATAAGTATGTTGGATTATATAAAGAAAAGCTGTACCGAAAATGTTACAAGATTTTCAAGATCGCATGCACCTATATAAAGACTATCTTGTTATAACTTATACTCTGCGAAAGAGGCTGAATCAAAATAGTCGTTCAGATTAAGGATGTATAAGGGTCTATTAAGCAAAATATACGATACACTGTAAAAAAAAATTCGTAGAATACTAAAACCAAAAAGGGTTGATGAAATTTCATCAACCCTTAAGGGTTTAGTATTCTACGAATTTTTTTTACAGTGTACTTTAGTTACTCATGAGTTTCTAGAACACTCTTGAATTTTGATAGGGGAATGGCATTGAAAATATTTGTGGTAAAATCTTTGTTCTGTTCCGATGTATATATTTGTTATAGGGGAGATTAAAAGGTAGGGCTATTTAAAATAACCTTTTGGAAAAATTGAAATTTTGATCTCTCCTAGGGCAAATTCATATATTGTTTTTTTTTCCAATTCATTTTATGAGAAAAGGAAAATATATTGATTTCAACATGTCCTACATCCACACCCTTGCTTCTCCAAGAAGCTTATGCAAACTATAAAAAGATAATGAACAATTAATGGGTGGCCCAGGATAAGTGTCACCCTAAGTATTTTGGAAATATCTCGATGAGATTTTATCGATCTGGCCTACTCTTTTTTTTATAAGAGATTCGTCTTTGAATGGTCTACAAAATGAGACTATTTTATTCACGTAAATAGCAACCATTCGTTTTTGAGACACGGTACAATCGATTGGTCCAAGATGAGCAACTTTCAAAAACAACATCCTGTCGAATCGTTTTGACAGATCGTTTGAGTTCGTCAATCAGCGTTGCTTTGGATGTCACTTTATCCCACTGACACTGAGTAGCATGAGCAAATTCATCCCATATTGAATAGTCCAATGGATTCAAATCGGGACTATTGGGTGGCCAATGATTTTTGTCAATAAAGGAAGAAAAGTGGTGCTGGCACCATCGTTGCGTAAGATGATGAATGTGTGGTTTTGCATCATCTTGCTGAAAGGTCCATTGACTTCCTAACACCTTGTTGTCGTATTCAAGTGCCACTGGAAGCACTTCTTGAATGTATCGGGCGTGATCTACCGAATCATTGTCGATGATAACTGATGGCGTTCCACCCTTAGAGCACACCCCCAACCAAACCATGACTTTTTGCGGGAACTTTCGTTTCGGCTTGATGTCACCTTTCTTGTCGGCATCAGCACGATCTACTGCCCATACACGATCATTTTGACTGTAATAGACACCATCGATGTCGAACATTTTCTCATCAGAAAAGAGAATATTCATTGTCTCTTCTTTTCGGAAATTTGCTCGGGCCCAATTTGCAAACTTTTTTCGTTTTCCCCTATGTTTGTCAGTGAGCATCGGTACAACTACTTTTTTTGTAATTTTTAAGGCCTAGATCCACTCTGACCATTCGCTGCACAGATACTCGCGAAATACCTAGATCACCTGCCAATTGTCGTGTTGATATTGACTTTTTCCGCTGCAAACGATGTTTGACCTTTTCAATAGCCCCCTTCGTATGAACGATACGTGGGCAGCCTGGTGGCTTCAACAGTTGTATAGAACCACTCTGCCGATTCATTTTGCACCACCGTTTGATTGTGCGTAGGCACAGTGTACCATTAAGGTCACGAAATCTTTTCGTTCGACCTTCACCTTTTTCGTACTTTGAAAGTACAACGTTTTGTAGATCTTTATGTTTCATAATCCTAGAAATCAAGAATATGAACTTGATTGAAATCAAACATCGGCTTTTGTAGAGCGTCGAATGGGAAATCTTTTGGGGAAAAAACTAGTCCTCGACGATGAACTTCCATGAAGATGTCGCAGAAATACTTAGGGTGACATTTATCCTGGGCCACCCGTTAGAATATCAATTGTTCAAATGTTGATAAAGTTAGCGGAAAGCTATGCATTTATGTTGAACATAAACGATAAGAAAAAGAGATTCATTAGATATACGAATAAAAGTGTTTGAAAGAGAAATTCAGTAGAATAACTAAGATTTTAGAATAAGGAAGTGCAAGATTTGGTGCACTCACACACAATCGAACACCGCACAATATTGGTATCAGTAAAGCACTTGTGACAAACGTTAATGATAAAATAGCTAATTTGAAAAACCACCCATGTTGCGAATACCGGATCAATTTTTGTGGTAAACCGCGGTATTTATCCGTTCTGCGGTAATGAGAGCCGGTAACCGGACCGGTAAAACCGCGGTTAACCGCCGATTTTCATGAGGTTTTTATTACATGGGCAATTAAATCGAAATAATCGAAGTTTAAATTGATTAAAAGAAAAATGAATGACTGAAATAAAGAAAAAATCGTCATTTCAAATCAAGAGTAAGAAAATCAGAGTATCTTATAAAAATCAGGAAAGCAGTATCGTTATGAAGTCTGTTTTCTATTTAAAATAACTACGCAATAAACTACTGAATAAGAAGGAAGTCAGAGCAGTGTATGAGTGTGTCAATATCGTCATTGTGCATCTGCGCACTAATTCACTCTAGTTTGTTTTCAATCATTCTTTACATACTTGATTTAATTTGTATACATTAACTAATTTATGAGGTATTGAAAACCAGTTCCTCATTGCTCATGTAAGTATATACCGAAAAATTGAAAGAGAATCCTGATTTTCTTAATTCTTACGCAATATACACGATTAATTTACTTTATTTTTATTCAAAATCCTCTTGTTGCAAGAAAGAAAAAGTTGTATATAAAGAGCAACGACTATGTAACCATCTAATAACACTCAACATTGCAAATAAGCTTCGACATGTTTACTACCAAGGTAATCGCCGTTATCTTATGTTGCTTACTGGTTTCATCTTATGGCCTACAGCCATCTACATGCCCAGACCAAGGTGATGGTAATTATGGTTGTTTTGATATAGCATCCCAAGGTAGCTGCACAGAAGTATCAAATCAACCACCTTCCAGTGATATACGTTGGCCACATTCCGGTATTGATTCTAATATTGATTGGACTATTAAATGTGGTGATATTATTGCTTATAAAATCCAATGGTTCAGTGGTGGATGGTCGGATTGGTATGTACCTGGCGTCAATGATATGGATGCTAAAGTTAATAGTGGTAATGGTTTACGGCGTATGTGGTCATACTTCTATGACCATACCCATTCGTACATTATTTGTAAAACAAATATCAATAATAAATTGCCAGGATGTTAAAAAATCTATTCTCGAACACACTTAAACTTGCTTCATTCTATTTCAAGAATGTTTTCTCATTTTCTTTTTTTCAATGAAATAAAAGACATTTCCACCACATTCTGAAGTTATGACCATTGCATTTTTCTTACCATTATCGATATCGAATCAAGCATCGAGAGCGATGTGAATTGGCGTGAATCACCGTCACTATTCGGATCTTGTCAATACATCATGAACGAATCCATAAAATTGATTTTATTATGGATTTTTATAGATTTTCAAAGGAACATTATATTTGATCAGTAATTAATTTTAAAGTGATCAGTTTATTATATATAATTACCAGCAAAGAAATAAACTTGATCAGTAAAAGATAGAAATTTGGGTGTGGGTGCGATTCTTCTGCTCATCTATGCTACACCNCCTACACCCACACCCACACCCACACACCCACACCCACCCAGCTTTTTGACTGAAAACGCGTTTAGACGCGCAAGAAGAGTGAAAAACGGTTATTTTTCGCTTAAAAACGCCCGCACATAATACAATTTCGAATACTTGTAAAGTGATTGAGTTGTTTTAGAAATAGAAAACGATTTCAACATTAATTTCGAAAAGCTAATGGAGAATTTCGCTGACTTTCCTAAAAAATAGTAAATTCTTTTACAGTAAAACCTTGTGAATCATAATTTGTGATTCTTTATTTCCGTTTAATAAGCAAACGAAACATCATTAAAAAAACCTTTTTTTTCAAGTTGAATACATTATTGTATTCTTATTCTATGAAAAGAAAGTCATGCATCACCAAACATAACTTTTTGGAAAAACGTTGGGGCTCAGTCCAACCACCACCCGATAAATCCTGGTTACGCCACTAATGCTACTATTTTGATGAACGTAGTGTAAATTGTTAGAACTAACTAAAATGTAAATGCTTAGGGTAATGTAATTTTATAGGAAATTATTATTTTAGTATCTAAAATTCTGCATTCTTCTAATGAGACTCAAATTTTTAAATTTATACTAGCTAATTTTGACAGTATACGTTCTGTGTTGATCAAAATACCACCTCAGGTAAAGTTTAATTTTATGCTAATTATTATTCTCTTAGAGAATTAAAGAAATTTATCTATGAAATGCTTCACATGTATCGCTTGAATTTGATAATTGACTAAGTTTCGATAGTTTCACCAAAAATATGATATTTTCTAGTATCAGTTCACATTACTCGTATGAAAAATCTTTCATTATATTAGTATTACTCACTAAAAATATAACCCTATTCACAATTGTTGAGGCAAAAATTGCACGACGTTTGGTGCAATCGTAGATTGTCTCCCACCCGTTCCACAAAATAAATATACCATCCATCTTACTTCGTGTAATTTATACACTGTCTTAAACAATTTATGAAATAATTGACATAAAAAATGTCAAGTCTAGTCAAGGGAGGTACAGAGAAATCTAAGTAGGATGTAGTTTTTTCGAAAATAGGAGAAAATTAAAAATCAGCTCTCATTTAAGCGGTCAGTATAATAATTGAATGAGCAGTACATTCTTTGTGTGGTCACTTATTAATATACTTCGATTTATGGATATATTTAAAAACCAGTAAATTAGATTAAAAGATCAGTATAAAATTTGAAATGTGTTTTAAGGTCATTTACTTTTTTTTCATGTTTGTTCATTTGGTCTATATACCGTACAGCTGACAAGTACAACATATATAAATGCACTCTTAGGTTCTTTCTTTCACGTTAAGCTTAGTATCACGAGTAAAAATGATGGAAGTCGCAGAAGTTCCTCAATATGAAAGTGATATATCAGACAACGAGACTGTGGAAGGAAATGATGGAATAAATGGAAATGAAAGAATTCCAAAAAAGGGTGTG